AAAAGACAAAACAGTTAACATATCTGCTTTCCATCCAGCCATTACAATCTTTCTCATATTTCGACCTTCAAAAGGATGAAATCAATGAAAAGATGCAAGTCAATGCACACAGGATAATTGTATGTTTTACGCAAAAGTTCAGAATCGCCCTAGCATAGAGGGAAAACAATCAGCATTACAATATATACAATGCTAAATGTAAGTATACATACTTTACATGTGCAAAAATAAGAGTGACCCAAAGCAGTTGTTGGTATGGTTTAGGGTCACACAGATACACCAACCATATAAGAACAATGAAAGCAAAAATTCAGTGTGACGTCAAAAGCAAGAAGAAAAGAAAGAAAGGGGGAAAAAAAAAATTACTATTTAAAAATAATAATAATAAAAATGAATAAATAAAAATTTAAATATGAATAAAAAATTAAATCATTCTCCTATACATTACATAATAAACACATCAATTTCATAATGTTCACTGTGCCAAAGAAAAAGAAAAGGAAAAGAATAGAAACAAAAAGAAAAGAAAAACAATAACAAAACAAAAAACTAAAACAAAGTAAATATCTAAATAATTACAAAGATAATATATATTTTTTAAGAATTAACTTGATACACCATCTACTTCATACAAATATAGGTAAAATCATTCAGTTAAATTTTCAAATTCAAAACACTGGGCAGGGTCTTCATACATGACATAAATACAATAATCTTAAGGGGAAGATATATGCAATACGATTCTATTATGTAATACCTCAAGTAATCTATATACTTCATAAAATGATCATAATGTAATCCTCCTTATAAACAAGATACACCTTTTTTATTTTATTATTATTATTTTTTTAATGTTTTCCTTATTTCCTCTATGTATCTATTACTTTTATTGTTATCAATTTTCACCTCTGGAGATAATATACATACTTTCAAGAATAAAAATTTCACAAACAATTTCAAGACCTCACTAGAAATCCCCCCCCCCCCCCATAATGTTTCTTCTAATTCATCCTTCATCAACTTTAAATCCTTTCTGTTAAAAATATATATATGTATACATCTTAACAAACATTTTTCCAATTACAAAAATGCAGGTGAACATTTTTTCCAAACTTCACTGAGGCTTCATAAAGTTGGTCTGAAGAAAGTCGAAGTTCATATCAGGGAAATCGGCTTCAGACAGGTTCTCCAGGAATTGATCATATTCATTCTCGTTGTACGGTGGCACTCTGTGTGGAGAGAGAAACTTGTCAGTCACAACCCAGCAGTACTGGCAGTGAGTCACAATCTTGTCCTATTGCCACCACCACAATTACCAAATCCATTATACTGTAATTATCACCACCACTAATTCCACCATCACCAATACCATATGTGTACTGAAAAACTAGCCAATTCAAAAAAATAGTATATATATACTAACAATTTGAAAAAAAAAAAAAAATAACATTAAAGGAGAAAAAATCCATAGCCTAGTATTTCAATGTATTTTGTAATCCATAAGATGATTTTTGGAACTATCCTTGCCTATCAAAATCGAGCATCACGAGATAGGAAAAGAAAAAAAAAACAAAAAAACAATATAATCATATGAATCATAAGAAGGTAACTAATAAAAACCAAAAACATTACTAAAGATTATGTTTATATTATATGTTCAACTTAACACTCAAAAAACTACACCAGAAAAATATGTTACGGCAAAGTTGAGTTCCACGAATTAGTAACAATGCAGTGAAAGACTTCCATGGACTACTCAATATCTAAAATCAGGGGAAGTATTGTCATAGCTCTATTTGGTTCCAAACAAAACCATTTTTATATGAACTGAAAGAAACCAAAATTAACAACATAGGATACAAAATAATAGAAAGGAAGTGATAACATAGCCAATTTAAGCAAGGATAGGGTCTTTGCAAGGACTATTGATAAACTGTACATAGCAGCTTACTGATAGCTCTACAATTTGGTCTGCAATCTTCTGTATTTCAAGCTGGTTTGAGTGAATATATTTTAATGACTATTGAAATCGTCTCATATTCCAAGTATATGAATGCAAGGAGTGTTTGGTAGGGCTAAGTAGTGGGTTGATAAAAATTAGTAATGATCACTGCACACCAAAACCAAACAGCATAACATGAACCATTTTAGATACTCTCTGGTCTTGATAACAATGCTAACCTGATTTACATATTGAGATGATAATCCCTACATACAAAATATATATATATATATACATAGGAAGGAATAGGATATAACCACAATCAAGTATAAACTATAAAAATAATATTTCTAAAATTACAAAAGTGACAAAGAGAGTACTACATAGGGCTGATATGCACAAACATCCACTACACCATTTCCTATTACATGAGTGGTAGTGGTGACAGTGGGTGGCCTGGGTGCAGTGCTGAGTTACTATATACAACATGCAAGTTACCCTCTCCCTGCTTGTGGACACACTTCAGAGCACACAGAGACAAGTCAACTGGGATAAATT